GTATTTCTTTTGTTTTTATATTTTATTGCACATTAAACGCCACACAGATAAAGTTGCACATGGAACACAGACATGAAGGAAAATTAAATGTGCCGGTGTGTTGAATCTTCATTGGTATATTTTTCAGGTGCTGTTGAATGTCCATTAAATGAATTTGTCTGATGTGGTTATTGAAAGAGTTGAAAATAAATAACCATGCCTTTTTTTTGTCAGTTGTCGTGAGTCTGTTGTGGCATGGATTTGTAATTTGTAATTTTAATACGCCTTCACATGAGACTAGTATTGCTATTGAGTTCAAGTGAGACATGAACATGTTTATCATACTCCTTTGCTGTCCATATTCTTTTTCTGTATCATGATCTGAATTTATTATTAAAAATATTTCTGTAATCTGATGTTCTTTTTTTTTTTTAGCCGGCCATCAACACACTTCTCAACACTGTCAAAAAGTCAGAGAATGAAAAGACCTCAAAAAAGAAGAAGGACAAGGGACTTTTGCTGCGGCCCATCATCTGTGTGTGCAATGATCAGTGAGTCGACTCTTTCCCTGACTCTGTTGATGAGTCTTCCATTTTGTTTTGGTTATAGCCTGAGAACAGCGAGGTCATAATAATGCAGGAAAAAATCATTTTGGCAATCTCTTCTGGTCTATGGATGTGGGACTACTAAAAGAGTTCAAGAAATCTTTTAAGATCCTGTGGTGTTTCTGTCTTTCATAGGATTCAACTATAGGGGATGTGGGAAACCATTTGAATGTAATTGCAGATGCTCTGATAGTAATGCTAGGTTGTATAATTATATGCCCTTTCAGTAATGCTAAAGTGATTGATACACATGATCTAACAGATATGTGCAATGCTATCTTGATTGAATATTCTCTCTTACAGTAATGCAAGGTTTATGGGTGTACTGTCAGTAATACAAGAGTTAAAATTATTATGTACACTCTCATAGATGTAACAGACTGAATGATATGTGCTCTCTCACTCTCACATTTATACCAGATGGATTGGTATGTGTTTGAACCTATTGTTGTTTGTCCAACCAGGTATGTGCCAGCCTTGAGGCAGTTGAGACAGATGGCATTGGTGCTGAACTTTCCACAGACAGAACCGAGCAGGCTTGCTAGTCGACTGTATGAGGTGAGAGCTGAACCTTTGCGCTTCTCCTCTACTTTTAGCTTTTCAGTATCTTTTCAACTGTTTGCCAGATGTTGGCCAATGGAAATTAAACCCCAAAATATGCCCAAGGATTGGAGCTTTTTGCTCTTTTTATGAGAGTTCTACAGGGAAAGAGACAAGGGTTATCTAAGAGACAAAGATTAAGGGAATGAGTAAATGAGAGAGGGGGAGAGAATAGAGCTGCTCATGTTTGACAAATTGAAGTGCTCAACAGATGTTTTTTCTGCTCTTTACATAGAAGGTAGAGCATGCTCTCAAGTGTGAGTGGTTAGAGGTATGCTCTTCCTTCCTTTCTTTTGTGAAAGTGTTGTGTTATTCTTTTTCTGGTGAAATGTGGCTGTTATCATCTCTTTTGGCCAAAAGTTGTACTTCCAACGATGGCTCTTTCTCTCTTTATGAAAGTACTCCAAGTAAATGCCAAGTGAAGACTATTAATATAACTCAAATAAAAAAGTGATCCATCTCTCTCAGGGACAAGTTGCGGAGAATTCTCTTTGTGGAACAACAGAATGGTTCAGGGCTTGAAATAGACCGCGGCACAGCGGCAATTTGCCTTGGTGCCTTTGCAATTTGCCGCAATGCCCTTAAAATCAGAGGGTCAACCGTGGCAATTTTTGCTGTGCCCTTGTTTTTAATATTTAAAAATGTGACGCCATGAAAATAAATCAATATAATTTGTCCTGTGCTGTCACGTGTGGAAAAAGAAGAAAAGAAAGTTATACAATGTACAAGCGTCTTGTCGGGTTCGCCATCGTGACCGGTCATTGAACCTACATCACAAGATACGGCATCGTGTGAGCACTGTTTGTTGGG